CTTTAATGGAATGAAAGCAAAATAGGAACGTTGTGGTCATATCATTTATTTCATTCGTTTTCATTCCATTAAAGACTTTAATGGAATGAAAGCAAAATAGGAACGTTGTGTTCATATCATTTATTTCATTTGTTTTCATTCCAACACATATCATTTATTTCATTTGTTTTCATTCCATTAAATGATAATCTTACAATCTATTTTAGGTACAAAATAAAGTATACAATCTATTTTAGGTAACTTAATAATACATATTTCTAATCTAAATATTCAGCTAAAAAGAAAATAAATTATAATAAAGATACTGGAAATAATTTAAATAAGGAAGCTCCTAATTATAGAAAACTCCTAATTTAGCTGTCTAATTTCTGTCCTTCCTGATTGACATCCCCCCTCAAATTGATGTTGACTGATCAGGAAGCATCAATTTTGCCAACAAGAAACATATAGCACTGTCGGGACCAAAAAATCTTTAAGTCGTGAGTGTCGAAATAGAAGTTGTCGAAGCCAAGAATACCGAAGCCTCAGAGACAACTCCCAAACCATAACAAAAACAAGAAATCATTTATCATTGTCGTCCAAAAATTTGAATCATAGCCACAAGAAAGGTCCGCTCCGCTTCCGGTTCCACAATCCAAATGCTACCGATCATAGCCTACAAATAGGAGCCAGTTACACGATCCAAATGCTATCAATCATAACCTATAAGTAGGATCCGTCTCCTAATTCAAATGCTACCGATCATAGCCCACAAATAGGATCCAGTTACACGACCCAGATGCTATTGATCATAGCCTACAAGTAGGATCCACGTCTTGATCCAAATGCTACCAATCATAGCCCACAAATATGATCCAGTTACACGATCCAGATGCTATCGATCATAGCCTACAATTAGGATCCGCGTCATGATCAAAATGCTACTGATCATATCCCACAAGTAGGATCCGCGTCCTGTTATACGATCCGAATGCAATTTATTCTTTCTGCGACGATGAGGACGATTTGTTCCCTGACCTTCACCCCAAAAGTGCTCAAAAGTGCTCAAGCCGAGATGTCGAAGTCGTGGGTCTAGGAAGAAGTGTCGAAGCCTACAATCCTTGGGTGCGATGAAGAAGCCGAATTCGAAGTTGACGAAGCTTAAGCAGAAAAAGCAGTCGAAGATGCCGCAGAAGCAGCGATGGCTAGCAAAGCAGATCCAAAGCGGACGAAGCGAACGAAATCGCAGATTGCGGATGAGACTTGAATCACAGAGGAGATAACAAATGAACAAGATTACAGATCGAAGCTGCAAACAAACGCGGGAGACGAAACTAGGCGCGAGAAATGGAAGAAGGAAAATCGAAGGCAGGACAAAAATTCTTAGATGGGCGAATCAAGGCAAAGAAATAGTTTCTCCCTTCCCGTCCCACAAGAATACCGAAGGGAAGGGAGTCTTGACGGTCCTCCAACGATTATCGGTGGTTAGTGCAAAAATTTGGCTCCGATACCATGTCAAAGTTTTTAGAAAAAATAGGCTGAAATCTGAATAAGCTCGATGTCTTTTCCCTTTGCTTTCATTTGCCTCGATGTCTTTTCCCTTTGCTTTCATTCCATTAAATAATAATCTTATAATCTATTTTAGGTACAAAATAAAGTGCATAATCTATTTTAGATAACTTAATAAAACATATTTTTAATTTAAATATTCAACTAAAAGGGAAATAAATCATAATAATGATATTGAAAACAATTTAAATAAGGAAGCTTCTAATTATAGAAAACTCTTAATTTAGCTGCCTAATTTTCGTCCTTCCTGATTGACATGTCCATTCTAAAAAGTATCAATTTTCTTCCTTTAAAAAACTTTTTTTCTCTTTTCACTAAAAGCTACAGCCATAAATTATTCCACACCAAATTCTCAACAAAGCGCTTCCAGTTTAACTCATAAAACACTCATTTAGCAGTTCAATACAAGTTAGATGTGCGTTTTTTTACACTTCTATGCCATTGAACAACAACGTGACAGAGTATAATCATTAAAATATTAGTGCTATCCATAATCCAAATCATGGAGGAAAAAATTAGCACTTTTCCTAATTTTTCTTAGTCATTTTCTATTTTACATTGTTATTTACTGTCATTACAGTAATATCAATAAAAAGTCACCGCAAGATTGTGTTAACAGCGAATGGACAAATATTTGCTGATTGGATTCTCCCACTCTCCTGAATACATGTCACTTTTTTTTTTCTTTCTTCTGCATAATCTTTACTCCCGAGATGCCACTAAACTCTTTCAAGCCTCACGGCAATCCTACATATCCAAAAAAGAAGGCATTCTTCCTTAAGGATATTTTCCAGAATAGATAATGCATACAAGAATGATATATAGAGTGAATAGTACGTGTGTGTCTGCATGATTGTGTTGTGACATAAAAGTGCAGTGGTTTATTGGGATTAGAAGAATAAAAGAAGAAAAATACGTGTGCGAACACATTAGTATGAATATCAGAAAGAAAATTAATTGAACTCAAATGAGGTCAAGATCACAACCATTTCAGGCAAGGTTTCCTACACAAATAAAATATGATATCCAATATAAACACTTAAAAATGTGTCGGTGTTTTATCTAGTCTGAATCAAATCGCTCATTTGAGAATGCTACTAATGTTGTATTCTAGCTTTGAGGCAAAGATGGTTTATCTACAGAAGTTGCATGCCTACAGGAATAGATAAAAAACATTTAACGATTAAAAAAAAATCATGGACATAAGTTAATATGAATAACAATTGTTAAAAAAAATTATAAATAACAGATCTAACTCTTCTTTTGCACGCACTATAGAGTGAATTAAAATAAAGGATTCATCAAACTGGTCCCAAATGCTTTGATAAAGGTGATGATCCAGCTAAATTGCATTACTATTCTATTCTACATCACAACACCATACTCACATGAGTTCTAAATAACTACCGATCCATTTGGACACGTACTTTTCTTTATTGATGTTCAATAATATCCCGAAGTTCTAGGACATGAGAACATAATGGCATATTCATGTGAAATCATTAACAACAATATTAATATGATTTTAAACGGCATTTGCTCTTCAGTTTTCAAAGCACTGCCGAGAATATTGTCCGGTAAGAAAATGTGTTTTCAGCCAATCCACTCAAAAATAAATAATTCAACTCATACAACAACAACAACAACAAAGCCTTAATCCCACTACGTGGGGTCAGTTACATGAATCTTTTTTCTCTATTGCGTCCTATTTAGTGTCATATTTTCATTTAGTTCTAATAAATTAAGATCATTTTTTTTATACAATAAGCCTAAGTCTTCCTAGGTCTACCTCTGCCTTCCCTAACATAGGTCGAATCTAAAACATCTACTCTCCTAATCGAATCATCAGATAGTATACGCTTAATGTGACAAAACCATCTAAGACAACTATTTGTAATTTTGGCTGTCACATGAGCTACACCAAACCTATCACGGATATATTCATTTCACATTTTTTTCTCCAAGTGTAAAGCCGCTCATCCACCTAATCATTCTCATCTCGACAACACTTAACTTAGTATTATGCTTCTCTTTTAAAGGTCAACATTCAACGCCATAAAACATTGCAGGTCTCACCAACCTTATAAAATTTTCTTTTCAGTCTAAGCAGTACTTTTCTATCATACAAAATAATTTTCTTTTCAGTCTAAGCGGTACTTTTCTATCAGACAAAATGCTCGAAGCATTCCTCCACTCCAGTCAACCAACTTGAATTCTACTATTAACATCCTTATCTATATCACCATTGCTATGAACAACTGACCCGAGATATTTAAATCGTTCACACCTTTTAATAATTTGATCACTCAAAGTTACACTTCTGTCACTAGAGCTACTACTACTAAAATTACATTCCATGCATTCAGTTTTAGTTCTACTCAAATGAAATTGGAAGATTTTTTTTTCTCTCGTCTTATCCACGAGAAGGATATCATCAGCAAAAAGCATACACCAAGGTACATCCTCCTATAAACGTCCAGTAAGACCATCCATAACTAAAGCAAAAAGACATGGGCATAAATCCGATCCTTGATGTAATCCAACATCATAGATCCGATCCTTGATGTAATCCAACATAAATAGGAAAACATTTGGTCAATCCTCCTTCAGTTCAAACACAAGTAATAGCTCTAGTATACATATGTTTAATGACTTGAATATAAATTGTATCAATACCTTTCTTCTCAAGAACTCTCCAAAGAATATCTCTTGGAATCTTATCGTAAGCTTTTTGTAAATCAATAAAAATCAAATGTAAATTCTCCTTATTATCTCTGAATTTCTCCATCAAGCTTCTCAATAAATGTATAGCTTCCATAGTAGACCTTTGTAATTCGTCTTAACCTATGATCAATTACCCTCTCCCATAATTTTAAAGTATGACACACCAACTTAATTCTTTTATAATTTGCACACTTGTACATCCCCTTTATTCTTAAAAACGAGCACCAAAATACTCTTCCTCCACTCCTTGGGCATTTTTTTAGTTTTTCAAATAATATTAAAGAGTTTAGTAAGCCAAGAAACTCCCAAATCTCCTGAACATTTTCATACTTCAATTGAGATATCATCAAGTCCTAGAGACTTTCCACCCTTGGTTTTCTTTAAAGTTAAAGCCTCCTCAACTTCTTCTTTACTAATGCGACAATAAAAATGAAATGTTATGCAAAAATAATGCAGAAGCGTAGAGAGTCACACAATAACAATCAAACACAAAAGATTTACGTGCTTTGGTATTGAATCGATTCACCTACGTCCACGGAGAGGGAGATTCCACTAGCATCGGATGGGAAAAAAACAGCTTCGGGTTACAACTCAACACTTCTCACCGTAACTCTCTCAAGAACACTAAGTCCTATTTTATAGAGGCGGCTTTAGAACATATAAGGAAATGAACCAAAAAAGAAACAAATCAATTATAATAAATTCATTAAATACAACAATCTCCACCTCATCTCTTATTTTTATAAAAGTAAGAGGTGACCAAATGAGCTCCAAACTCCAATTTAGTGTACTAAGATGGTTGCCTACATACCCTCTCCTGAAGGGATCAAGCTCTGCGTAGTTCTTCAAAATGCCCGTCCGGACAATCAGTCCTGAGCTCGAACAATCACAAATTCCTACAATAGATGAATTTTTGGACTTGTAGTATCACAGAACACCGTCGGAGACAGAGACTTGTGATCAACACCAAGTCATCCAACAGGTTGACTGTCATGTACTCAACCCCCATAGTAGACATAGCAACAACAGACTGGAGAACTGGCCTCCAACTGATTGGACTTCCTGCCAATGTGAAAAAATAACCAATTGTAGATCTTAGCATGTTTGTATCATCTTGTATATTCGGAGTCATTGTAGCCTACATACAAATCTACACTGGCTGAATGTCTCTCAAATACCAAACCAACATCAATTGTACCTTTTAGATACCTCAGAATAATATTCACAACCTGTCAATGACTCCTTCCTGAACCATGCATGAACATGCTCACAACACCAACTGTTTATACAATATCTGGTCTAGTACAAACTATAACATACAACAGATTGTTCACTGCACTATCATAATGAACTGATCACACATCTTTCCTCTCATGATTATCTTTAAGATATTAATCTGAACTCAACTGCACGTGAGATGCAATTGATACTCAATATCTTGCTCGAGTCATCAACCCCAAATTTCTTCAGCATCTTTCGAACATAAGCTCTTTACGAGAGTCAAACCTTTCTAGTTGTTTAAGTTTTGAGAATCTTTATGCCAAGAATTATGTTAGCTTCATCCAACTCCGTTTCGAAATGTTTGGACAGTTGATTCTTCATCCTATCAACCTCAATCTGATTAGCAAATGCAATCAACATATCAACAACATATAGAAGCAAGTAAATGAACTCACCGTTGCCAACTTCTTGAAATAAGCACAATAATCATACTGTCTCCTTGTGTATTCTTGTCCCTTCATGAATTGATCAATTTTTTTATACCACTGTTGTGGTGACTGCTTCAACCCATACAAAGACTTGTTCAGTTTGCAAACCAAGTCTTCTAATGTTCTATATTCAAGCAGCTGTAACGTGTAGATCTCCTATTGTAATTCTCCATCCAGGAATGCAGTCTTCACATCGAGTTGTTCCAAAATCAAACTGCACTGTACTACAAGTGCTAAGAGAACATGGACTGAGCAATGTTTGACCACTTGAGAGAAGACTTCGTCATAATCAATCACTTCTCATTACGCAAAGTCTTTTGCCACTAATCTTGTCATGTATTGCACATCAGCTCCATGAAATTCTTCATTCTTTGCATCACCCATTCACACCTAATGGCTTTCCTTTAGGAAGGAAACTTCACCAACCTCCAAGTATCATTCTTCCGAAGAAACTCCATATCTTCATCCATTGCCGCCCTCCAAAGATCATATTTTGGGCTCTTCAGTGCTTCTTTGTAGCGATAAGGAATTTCAGCCTCTGTGGCTGAAAGTGCAAATGCAATGTGATCCCTCAACCAAACTGGTTTTGGAACATTCTGGCGTCTGGTCCTATTCCTAGCAATAGATTCCTAAGCAGAAATCTCATCCTCAACATGTTCTTCCACCGTCTTCTGAGCACTATCAACAAATACTACTTGAGCTGCAATTGAGTTAGATATCTGAGTCGAAGTGTACAAGCTCTATGGAACAAATAGAGTTACATCAAAGCCACCTCGTTATGTTGTGGTTTCTCTCTAACTGTAAATTGGTGCTCTATCCTAACTCTCTGTCACTCTTGCAAGAACACATTTGAAATGTATTCGCCCCATTGATCGATCTGATACACTGGATCCTTTTATCAGTCTAAGCCTCAATCTATTTATTCCAAGTTAGAAAATTTTCAACACTTTTCTTTTGTGCTTCATGGTGTACGCCCAAACATACATTAAGTAATCACCAATAAAAAAGAAAAATTATCTTCGCCCGTTGAATGATATTGTCTTCGTCGGGCCCCAAACATTTGTGTGAGCATACTCTAAAATACATTTTGTACTGTGGATGGCAGTCCCAAAAGATACTCATGTCTTCTTGTCAAACATACAATGTTCACAGAAATTAAGTTTGTAGGTGTAAGTCCTTTGATCAATCCTTTCTTCACCAAATGAAACCTCTCCAACACGAGCTAGTCGCATATGCCACAACATAATGGCGTCAGAAGAATTATCAGCAATAGCAGTCGTTCTAGTCGTTGTGCTACCCTGAAGATAGTAAAGATAGCGATGATGAACTCCCTTCATAAAAACTATTGCTCCACGACATATACTCAATAACTACTTTGTAGCCCTTAGATTTTAAAGCCCTGACCGGCAACAAGTTCTTGATATCTGTAAAATGCTTCAAATCGATTAGCTCCCACACAGTAACATCCTGCAAAGTGATAAAGATACTCCCTATAATAATAGTACGACAAGCTTGATTGTTACCCAATTACTACACCGCTATCCAGCTCCTTGTACGTACAAAAAAATACCTTGATAAGAATAAATGTGATAGGTGGTACATATATTCAAAATTCAACATGATTCATTTGTAAATAATCTGTGAGAAACTATAGATGACGATACATCTGAATCCACCTCTTAACATATTTCCACAATAAGATTGACTTTCGCCTCAAATGCAACTTCATTTCCCTTCGCCTTCAGTTTCGGACAATCTTTCTTCCAATTACCAGTCTCTAAACAGTAAGCACACTGATTTTTCTCAAAACTGCGTTGACGAGACTAGCTCCGCTTTTGAGAATTATCGTCACTGCCATCTTTCTTTGTCAAATTATTTTTTTTCTCAGATATGTCAAAGTGTAGTGCAATTGCCTCAGTTGATTCCAGCTTTTCCTGTCACTCCGACGGAACCCGCGATTCAACAGTGTTGTGGCCGCTTCATCCTAATTTAAGAGCTCATTCCCATAAATGAGTGTCATCGTAAAGTTTTCGTACTCATTTGGAAGCGAATTCAACACAAGATGCAATTTGTCATCATATCCAACTTCATCATTCAAATTTAGCAGATCTACCAACACTTTCGTGAAATCATTCAAATGCTCATCAATAGTAACCCACGTCTAATCTAAAATCTGTAGAGTCGACGCTTCATATGAATAGAGTTCTCCACGCTCTTCGTGAGATATTTATTCTCCAACATCCTCCACAATTTCCCTGCAGAAGTCCTTATCATCACCCCATATTTGATCTTTTGGGTCAAACAATTTTGGATCAAACCACAAACACTCATGTTTATATTCAACAAATCTCTCTCTAACATCTCTTCAAGATATTTCTCACTATCCAGAACTATCTCAAAATTCAAAGAATACAATCCATTCATCACCTCGCATGACCACATGCCAAAGTTCTATTTGTCATCAAATTTCGTCACATTAAGAATAACGAAAAGTGTAATCATATGATGAATCAACTTTTCTACCGTCATGGTGAATGTTGAATTATCTGACATAATGTTATTACTCCCACTATTGGAATCTCTTTCTAAAAAAAATTCTTCTAACAGAGTATGTGAAAAAAAGGAAAAAAAAATCAAACAAAAAAAAAGATTCACCTCTAAAAAAATAAAGTTCAAAAAATAAAAAATTCTTTTTATCTCCTGAAATTTCTTTTTTTCTAGAAATTCTTTTGCTTTTAAAAAAATAAAATTTTTTATTTCTGTTAAGAAAATTTTCAAATTTCCCTAGCTAAAAATTTTTGAAATTATTCCTTTCCTCCTTTCACTTTAAGCCTTTTAATAATCCTAGGAAAGAAAAGGGGGTGAGGGAATAATCTTAAGGTTCCCTTCCTTTAATTCTCCTTCTCGGTTTTGAACAGGTGTGGCCTGTCTGTTGACGCTCATCGCTCGCCGAACCACGCAGGACAACTAATCTCTGCTTGTTGTTATCAGACCCACCAGAATACCCACATTTTGAGATCCCGATTTTCGCCCAAGTTGCCAAACTGCTGCCAAACCTCAGAATTTGCCGACAAAGCATGTCGGACCAAGTGCTCAAAAAACCTCTGGCAACATATGTTGGATTTGCTGCTGTCGAAGTTGAACCACTCACTGTTCACAAACCTGAGGCTCTGATATCAACGGTTATGCGAATACAATGCGGAAGCGTAGAAATTCACACAACAACAATCAAACACAAAAGATTTACGCAGTTTAGCGTTAAATCGTTTCGCTTAGGTCACAGGGAGGAAGATTCCACTAACACCGGATGGGAGAAAGAAAAAGCGTCTTGGAAGTATAACTCAACACTTATCACTATAACTCTCTCAAGAACACAAAGTCCTCTTTTCTAGAG